GTCAGATATGTTCTGTTCTTTTCCCCCTTTCCACTTCTCCCCTCAAAATCTTTATGTCAATTTCTCTTTTCTAATCCGATCAATCTTTCCCTCTCCTCTACTCTCACACCCGCTCACAGACCCATTTACCCCTAAATTTTATTTAGACACCTAACAATCACCGGATTAAATGTACTAGCCAAAGATTCATGCAAAAATGGGCAGCCTGCACTATTCAAGGACAACACCCAGATGTTCTCTTCTCCGGCATCATGCTGGGAAAGAGGGGTGTGCGTGGGTTCCCAGCAGGGTGCTCTCCTTGACCATGCTTGGGTCCATCTTTCTTATCAAATGCTAGTGATGCTCCCAGTTCTCTTTGGTTGCTGGGGAAAGAAGCAGTCTATCTTTAGTCTCATCTTTCTGATGCAAGGGTGGGTGGGAGAGCTACACTGCTCTACCCTTCCCCTCTCCTTCTGATTGTGACTGGAATGTGTGTGTGGGGGTGGAGTTGGGGGAGGCTCTTCTACTCTAACCCTCTCATTCTCTCAAAACTCTTACATCTCCCTCCCTTCTCCAGCCCCCACCATGAATATCTCCAATTAATGCTACTGGGGCTGCTATGCTTGTCTACACAACCTATGGCCATGAGCCTCCCAGCTGCTCTTCAAAAGCTTTTGATTACCTGGTTCTCCAGTAAAGACAGGCAGAGCAATGCTGATGATAGCAAAGGAAACGCACAGGTTGACAGACTTGGGCTCGTGGGGACTGCACAGTCGTGCTAAAAATAGAGGTGTAGATGTTGTGGCTCAGGCTCTGAAGTCTCGGGAGGGTGGTGGGCGTCAGAGGACAAGCCACAACTTCAAAGCATTGTCTACACAAGCTATTTGCAGCATAGTAGAATGAGCCTTGTAAGCCAGAGTCAGACAACCAGTCTGGGAGGCTGGGTGCCATGGGCTGCAGAGACATACCCTCTGAGGATTTGTCTGTACTAGAGAAGCACACCAAATCAATTTAACAATGATTTAACCCTTGCTTGCATTGATTTAGCTTATGTCAGCAAATTACCAATTTATGTTTATTCAATATAAACAAAGATTAAAATGGTTTTAAGTGTCAATATTAGGGGTTTGCACTGATTTTGCTAGACTGAGTTTTAAATCAATTCACTTCAACCAGTGTACTTTTGTAGTACAGACAATGCCTTTTCTTCCCCTCCACCCCACACAGGAATGGAAATGAAACTGATCTGATGCTTGTCAATTTCACCGGGGTTCAGAAAACGAACAAGACTGATCAGCTTGGCAAAGCTCTGAGCAGCAGCAGCAGCACAGGTTCTGGAGCCTGGTCTCTGCAGACTCAGGAAGACATCACTGAATCCCTTTACAGATGGTTCATGTTTGGAGGGTTATCTCCACAACCATAAGAACTACACACACAATTTCATTTTAAATGAAAGCTTAGAGTTTGAAGGAATTGACAAAATATATGGGGGGGGGGGGGGACACCACTTACTCACCACATGCAAGTGGATTTTTCAAGCCCTGTATTAAATCATGCAAATTCTAAAAAGTCCATTCTTTGGTGTGCTATTATTACAATAGTAGCTCCTTTTTACGTATCAACAGAAAACTGCCATTTGTCATAGATGTACTGAAAATTATCCTTTCAATGTTCTTTTTCTGCATTAATATCATGTGTCATACTTTCTGTTAGGCAACCAGCAAAGATGAGCTCATTATAAAGATATTCTGCAAACAAAATCACTTATGCCATGGCAAGAACAATTCACATTTCAGAATCACAAATCCCCAACTAAAGTCTTATTATTTTCTTGATAGAAATAGAAATGTTGGGACTTGAATGAGCCTGATTTGAGAAAGTTGCTCTTTTAAAAGGTTTTGATTACCTTGTTCTTGAATAAAGACAGGCAGAGCAATGATGATAGTGGCAAAGGAAAAACACAAAACCTTTCACAAATGATTTCAACTTTCAATCATATAAAGCCCCAATTTAATGGTGACTTTAATTTTCAGGAGGAAAAAACTCCCCCCAAACCTGTCTTGTTTAGAATATTGACTTGCACTATATTTCTTGACTGCTAGTCCCTTCCCACCACAACTCTTACCCTAGCTTTACCTACTTTATATCAGGTCCAATGAGTGAATGTCTCCTCAGCATAGCCCGGGCCTGCGCATTGGTTAAATTAGTGGTTGTCTCTTCATTAATGGACAGAATACAATCCCCCACACCGATTCGTCCATCACGACTTATGGAACCGCCATGGATGATGCTGCGGACTATCATTCCCGAGCCATCTTTATTGGAACTTACTGTCATCCCTGTTATAAGACAGGCATGGAGCAGATTATTGTATATATAAATAAGGAACACAGTGTATAAGGTGAAATACATTCCACCTGCACTGAACACTAACGGAGCATGCAGATGCAGGAGATGTGGATTCCACCCCCTACATCTGGGTCTGCTGAACAGGATTCAATGCACTCTGCAGAACCAAAGATGCTATTCCAGCCTGTGGGCAGGAACAGCAGTCACAGCCCCTACACAAAGACATTCATTTTTGAAGTTTCTTACCAAACGAAAAATGTGATTGTAGTGGTATTTAAAATAGAGAGAAAGAAAAATTTAAAAAAGCTAGAGTGGGAGAGATATAAATTGCTTCTAAACATGATCAGATCGATCAGTCTTAGATTTTTTATAACACAAAGTTAAAGGTAATTTTATTTATTTTAATTATATTAGAGAAGGATTTAAAAACAAACAAACAAACAAAAAACAAAAAACAAAAAAACA